AATTTGGTCCAACTAATCATCAAAAGATGAATTAATAGGAGAACCAACCTAATTAGTAGTGCTAGTGAGATTCACTAGTTTAAGCTAAGTGAGTATTACAAATTCAATTTTTGATCTTCGGTGGACTTAAAAAAATAGAAGAATTAGAGTTCAAAATCTTTTTAAATCTTTAATACAATTTTAGAAATTAAAAAAAAAAAATCAGTCATGGTAAATAAGAAGTGAACGAGACATGAAGTACGAGAACCTTAGTTTTAAATTAGCACAAAAATTGAAAAAAAAAACTTAAGGAAGAAACAAGAACTAGGCAAGAAATGTGTGGTTTGTTTTACTCAAGGTTAAGAATACAAAGGGAGAGTTAGATAGATAAATAAAGAAATAGAACAAAGATCATTAAACATAGAGAATGGAGTATTATTTGGGTGAAAATTGGGAATTTTAGTCTTTGACTGAGTGGAAGAGTATGGCAAAACAAAAGGCCATGATAAAATGGTTGAAGGATGGTGATGTCATAGTAAGTTCTTGTACAAAGTTGTCAACACTAAACCGAAGATGAATATTGTGGCAATTGTAGGTTTATATGGGATGAGAAGATAAAAATTATATGGATTAAAAGAATAGGATAAAGGTGCTCTTTAGGAAATACTTTGAGACTTTGATAACCTAATCGTCTTTTTAGAGGGAATCAATTTTAATAGACTAAGTGAAATTCACAACCAAGAATTGGATGACTAATTTTCAATATATGATATTAGGAAGGTGGTAATGAAAGGGAATAGAGATAGAGCATTGAGATTAGACAAGTTTAATATGTATTCTATTAGTCACAATTGAGAGTATTTAAAAAATGGTATAATGAGTGCAAGGAATAAATATTTCAAACAAACAATTTTTTAGAAAAAAATAAATAAAGATGGACAATAGAGAAGAATGAGAGATGAAGAAAGGGATTAAAAAAACAATTAATTATCAATTCTTAGACAAAATAAAAGTATATACCATAATCTAATACAAATTGTAACTCCCTTAATTACGATGTAATAAAATTTTTGAAATTCTCAAATTTACTGATGCATTTCAAGCATTCACGCTTTTCACGGCATCCATGTAGATCCCATATAAAATTATCATAAACAAGTACAATATGAATGTTAAAAAAAAAAGACAACAAAATTTACTTTAAATGAATATTTAATCAACAATATATCATTTAGAAATCTAGAACATATTATATTTATTGCATACTTTGAAATTTTTTTTTTTTTAAATTTTCTTAACTATTTTTTTGAGATGTTTTTTCTTATGCTAAAGAAATTAGGTAATATTTACTAACTATGCAGCCGAACAACTTCCCACATAAATTAAGATTGAATCCAAGAATAAATCTCTACTCATCCTAATAAGGAAGACGTACTAAATAAATTAAGACTCATTAGTTCACTAATTACGATGAAATTGCAGGATAAATCGAAAAAGAAATTGCAAGATTTCCACCATGAATATCATGAGCAAATATCATAGTAGACCTTTACTATGTATTATATGAATGAGCATTGACTCAGATCAAAAAATATAAACTAGCACCCGATACGTAAATATACGAATGATCAGAAAAATGGGGCAAAAAATATTAGAAAAGAAAAAATTAGGATTCACCGGCATTTGCCAAAAGTTGTAGTCTACCAGAACCCTTTGGCCTTCCTCGGCTTCTTTTGAGAGTATTTGTAGTTGAAACTTCGTCTTTCTTCGACTCACCCTCCTGTTGAACCAAATCAGGCATACCCTTATCGTCTTCCATAGTCGAACACCTTTAATTAACACAGAACATACAAGTTCATTTCTATCACATAGAACAAATATATATACGATACGCAACACAAAATAACTATACACGTAAAGAGATCTACATGGTATATCTATTGATCTACAGATATTAAGTGTGAGAGAGAAGATGAAGAAAACCATAAGCAACAAGAGTTATTCAACGAAAAATGGTGTTTGGTAATGGGATCTTACCTTCGCACTTCTCTGAAACTGTATCTCTATATGAGAAGATGGAAGTGGTGAGCTGCATATATATTTATAATTGATTCATTTCCACTAGTACCCTTGACAAGTTCAGTTTGACTTCTTTATGTTCCGCAATTAATTTGAAAAAAAAAAGATAAATATATTATCTGTTTTTTCCTTTTTCTCTTCAATTATTTAGGCAGCACATTATTTAAAAAAATTAATTTTATCAATCTTAATAACATAAGTAACGTATTTTTAACTTTTAAAATCTTAATTTGAATTTGAATACATAATGTTTTTTAGCTGTAATAACCATATAATGAAAACACATGGGATGTACTTTTTATAAGTAAATATCTTACTATTTAAATGCCGCCACATTTATGTATTGCCAGCTAATGATAAATGTATGAATGATTATGAAATAAAACAATTAGAAACACGGATAAGCTTGAATTGATTGCATACATACAAATCCAATAGAGGTAGATTAATATATAGGCTTTGTTTGGATAATTGCTAGCCATAGAAAGGATATGCATACCTTCATGTCGGTCTTGGAAAAACGAACTTACATTCATGTATCTCCCACATCTAGGATGATTTAAATGTAATTATTCATTTTCAGTCTGCAAGTAATTTTTTATATTTACTATCCAACTCGTTACCCTTTATTTATACGTCTATCACTCTTACCTTATCAGTTTTACATCTTTCAATTGTTTTTTTTACTTGATAAATATATTACAAATAGTCATTTCATATATTATCCAACAACATCCAAATTAATAGTTAACGAACAAAAATTGAATGAATATTTAAATAATACGTTATGTGTTAATATAATTTAGTCAAATTTTCGTATTGTAATAATACATATTATATGTAATTTTAGAATTTATAAATGGGACTGGACAAGTAAAGATTAAAGGAGGATAAATAAGTTATTCATACTTCACCTACACCAGCCACTGGTACTTTTCTTTCACTTGCATTTCTCGTTTACTTCATATTGTTTCTCCTTTTACTTATCCTTCACAGAGTGGACAAGGTAGGTTAGTCAAATCTATCATATCGGTCATCTCTAGTTTCATCCGAACTCTTTTTTTATATTAAAATATAAAATCAACAAAAATTAAATGAAGTTAGGGATTTCATAAGGACTTATCAAAATGTTCCACTAAAATGGTATATCGATTTATTATTTTAAAAAAATATATAATTACAAATTTACAAATGTAATTATCATACTTTTTTCAATTTTAAAATTTTATTTTGAATTTTTAAAAAACAAGAGTGTTTTAACTGTAACAACCATATAGTGAAAACCACTGATATATATTCCTTACAAGTAATTATCTCAATGACTAAATAAAAACAAACTATATATTACAATATAATATAAAAGTTTTTTATAAGTGGTCACAAGATAAAATTGGAAAATCGGATAAGTGTGAATGAATTCTCTACATATACAAGAAAAAGAGAGATCAATTTTTTAGCTTTGTTTGGATTAGTGGCAAGTATGCAAACTTCGACACCTAACTTTTACTCATACTCGCCCCATATATACCCGAAGCAAATCTAAATCTAATTACTCATATCTACTCTATCAGTAAATTTCTTGTACCCATCATCCAATTTGTAATAATTATTAAAACCCTTCTACCATGCTCATTATGTCAAATGCACCCTGTTTAATTGCTTCTTTACTTGATAAATATATTTAAAAAATAATTATTTCATATAATCAAATAATATTTCAATTAATTGTATAATATCCTGAATTTTTCCAATAGCTCTATTGGCTTGTGATAAGATGATTGAAATGCATGTGCATAAATATTATAAAGTGTAAATTAGAGAAAAGAAAACGAAGGAGAAAATTAGGTTAAGGGAGAAAAATCCCCCGAACGAGAATTTTTTCCTCGAAGAGAAATCTATTAGTCTCGAACTCTAAATTTTTTTTTGTAGCTAGACGACATCCTAAAATGTTGAAAAGTCTCTTAAGGAAGTGAAAAAAATAGTTGAAGTAGAAATAAGGAGCGAAAACAAAAATTATGGTTAGGGAAAAACCCTAAATTCTCCCAATTTAAAGAAAATTGACTTTTTACTATTAAAATACTTTTTGAGCCCAAATTTGAGAAATTTGAATTCAAAATTTTGTAGAATAATAGTTAATATGTGAGAAAAGAAAATCGTAACGAAAGAAAAATTTTCAGAGCAAGAAAAATGGGAGAGAATTGAAGATTAGAAAATATTTTATCCTGGGAAACCCTAAAATCACATTTTTGGGTTAAATTTCATCTCAAAACTAAAATACTTAGAAGTTGAAACCCAAATTTTGTGGAAGATAAGTTAACACATAAGAAAAGAATATGGTATAAAGGGTTGAGTAAATATAATTAGAATAGAAAATACAAACATAATACATAATAAGTAAATAAAACTTTATAGTATATGTTATATAATATAAAACTATATATTTTATATTATATAAATTAAAGTTATATAATATATATATATATGGGGAAATGCACGACAAAATTACGGGAGAAAAAATGGAGGGCACAAACAAAAATTAAGGGAAACATGATGTGTTATTTTTAAGGGAATTGATTGTGGCGAAAAGGGGAACTTTAATTTATACATAATATATATAGATAAAGGAATGCATGGCGTGATTTGGAGAGAAAACTTAAGAAGTGGAATGAGATGGAAATTAATGGGAAAATAATAGCCAAATCTTGTGGCTTAAAGAGATCATCTCAAGGGATTTTCCAGCTGGCTTGTTGGAGGATGCATGACGGCCGAAAGATGGCCAAATGGGGGCTAGAGCTGACGGGTAAAGGAGAAAATGGTAGAGCAAAATGGTGTGATAAGGTGGGATTTTTTTGTTGAAAAGTGGATCACCACTTTTTTTTTTTTTTCTATTATTTCCTATAAATAGGGACATTATATGTTGGGGAAATGCATCAGGAAAAGAAGAAACAAGAAGAAAAAAAAAAAGAAGAAAAAAAGAGGAAGGTTGAGTGACGAAGAGAAAAAATTTAAGGAAAAAATTTGTGGATAGGAGGAAAATTTGTGGGGAAAATTTTAGAGAAATTTTAGGAGAATTTTTTTAGAAAAGAAAGGCTAAGTAAGAGAGAGAAAGAAAGAAATAAATCAATATGTAAATTGTGAAGAAAAGAGGTTAAGCTCGAGGAGCCTCTAATGTATAGAATTTGAGTTTAAATTGTTGTGATAATTTTAGAGTATAATTTAAATAGTACTTATGGTTTTTTTTTATTTTTTTTTTAAAAAAATAATATAGACATAGAATAATTCGATAAAATTTGGAAGAAAAATGACACTTGAGTAAGTTGTTATGCTACCGGGATGAAGGAAAGGGTTTAGAGAAATTTTCGGGGTTATTAGCAAAATTGAGGTGAAGTGGTTATTGTAGTACTTGGATAATGGATTTTTGTAAATATTTATGATGCTATTTTATAATTAGTAATTCAGATAAAATTAAATTACGTAATTATTTTACGAATATTCTGAAAATTATTAGAACATGAGATTTTGATTTTGAAACTAAAATTAGAGTTGTTACGCTTTCGTTTTCGAAAAGAGATTTAGAAATTGTATGTTTCAGTCATTATGAGGGGAGTCTCTTATCTCTACTACACCATGCTATGAGTTTGTTTTGTACCTATACATACTGATTCTGTGCTCGGGAGGATTAAGAATCTTTCGCGTGGCCATAGGTATTGGAAGTTTGGCTTTGTCAGCAATTTGTGCCGAGGCATGATATAGTTGGATGTGTTTGTTGTGTCATGCATAATGATAATGAAATTAAATTCATTGTATAATGTAGAACTGTGTTTTTAATCAATATAATTTAAATATTTGTATTGTGACAATATAATTTTAGAATTCATAAATGGGACTTGATGATAGCTGCAGGGTATGGTGAGAGTAAATGTATTATTTGTATCCCCCCGGCCTAAATTTCTTCTTTCTTTCACTTTTATTTGGCATCTACTATTTTATTGTTTATCCTTTTCTCCACCCTTAATGAAATGGGTAAGGGATTAAACTAAGCGAGAAATTCGCCAATTTGCCATCCCTATATGCAATTCTTTTTCTAATTGTAAATACAAACAGAGCTCAGAAAATTGAAAACTAGTTTCTGTCACAAGGTAGATTGAAGAGTAAACTGAAAATTAGCAAGAATTCATTTATTTGTCTTTCAATGGATTTAAAAATATGTGACCTACCCTTTTTTCAACCCAAAAAAAAAAATGTAATATTAATATAATTAATGATATAATACAATATGAATTTAATAATCTATTGCATTCAAATATTGGCTACATGAACACAAATCATAATGTACTCCATTCCTTTCTACATTAAGATGTTTAATTAATTTACTGAAAAATGTTTATGGCGTCAAAATTTTATAAACAATATTGTATAAAAATAATCTTATACGGACTATCATTATCAATTTAGATACATAATCCACTAGTATAAATCATTCCTCAATATTAATGATAGTGACAATTTTTGATAATATACAATGTCAATCGGAGGGTCAGCACTAATTGATTTGAATAATTTAATATATATAGTTTGATTAAAGTTTGTATTCATAAAGATAAATTTTTTTAAAAAAAATTATATTTAAATTTTAAAATTAATTATATATTTAATTTAAATTTTTTTGTTTTTGTAATTCATTTTTAACACATGAAAATAGAATTCATAATTATAAAATTGAATGTATTAGTAGAATTG